ATGTTCCCCAAGAATATAAACTGATTTTCCTGTGCACATGGGGAAGTGCAGCCAATAGGGCAAAGCTGGGATGCTGTTACAATCCTGACCTCCAATACCTGGTCTCCTCTCTCATTCTGATGGTTGTCTTCAGTTTCTGAATTATTCTTGTTCTTACTCATTCCCAAGTTTGGGAGATCCCATACCACATTACTGTTAAACTATTTCATTTAAGGTCAATAAAAACTGGCTCCTGCTTGTTTGCTCTCTCACAGGGACTATATCTGCCCTAACCTTTCTATCAAGATCTTGGGATTCATATCTGAAACCAAAAATAACCTTTAGGGTGCGGAGGTCATCTTCCTCAAGAGGTCTCTTGATCCCCTAGCTTTTTAAATCACAGGGTCAATGCAGTTGGGTTCATGGTAGAAATACGAGTAAAGCTTGGGTATGCTGTGCTAAAGTTAGATCTACAGCCTCTTTAAACTGAAGTACTGAATACAAACAAGCCATTTTCCTGCTCTCTTTCAGCTGGAAAGCAAGGGATTCACAGACAGAGGCTTCAGAGTGGCTCTAAAACCTCACACTTCTATCTCTGAGCTGCCTTCATTCCACCCAGGTCTAGTCAAAGGAAGATGGCCAAACAAGTCAGAATTTTGGCAGCTTAGAGTATTTAGCAGGTTCTTGCTTTAGTGCACCTAGTGGAGCAGCCACACCACAGGGATAGCTGGACAAATAGAAGCCATGGGGCAAGATTTACTAGAAAATGGTTTCAAGTCCTGAAGAAAAGTATTAAGAGGGGGGTAACGAGGAAATTCCCAGGGGCGCTCCTTGATGTGCTGTGCCTTTGACCAGCAGCACCTGGCACTAAGAGCCTCAACAAGTTCCTCTCTCCCCACATTGCTCCGTCATTCCTTACACAGAATCCTCTAGCGCTGTTCAAACCTGCCTATGTTCCAGTATGCAACAGAAGTCAGTAAATCGTTAAAGTGTGAACTCGTTTGTAGACACAGATTGTTACAGATAACCATCATATTGGAGGAAAGCTTTCCTAATAAGCCAAGAAAACCCCTGCTTTTAAGCACCCATCTGTACTCATATTCTACATCTCTCCTTTTGGAACAGGCAGTGACTACTGCAGCTACACAGTGCAAGGAGTTTTATACCTGTGACTAGGAGTCTATTCTAAAGTTCCTTGCACAGAAAACAGCTTGGACTCCGAGTTCCAGTAGGCTGACACAACGTCTTAGGAGAAACACACTTAAAGCACGCCTTCTGTGTGTTCAACACAATTTGCTTATTGCAGGAGGAAAGCCAACAGGGAAGTATTTTAGAAGACCGAATTAAGCAACTTAAAAGCCTAACTGAGAGCATGATTTGGACACAGCAGTAACTTTTTAGCTGATTCCACTCTCGGAGCACCAAGTAAAGAAAATCCCTCTTTTTTTGACTTAGCAAGCATCCTTTCCAAGGGCAAAGTCAGCAAAAATGTTACGAGGGACCCCACTGCAAATACAGAGACTCAACACTAACCCAGGATGTGTGACACAGCACAGACTGGTGAATTCACTAGAACTGGACTCTGGAACGAGCCCTGCAGTACGTCTCAAAGCCACTCCCACTGCTTATTTGTGCTATAGGGAACATATAGGACACAGCTGTTCATGCCACATTACAGACGTGACCATCTGAGTGGACCTAGATCCCACAGAGAAAGCAGACAGCATTGTTAGAAGCTTCCTGCAAGCCAATTGTGGACACAGTGCCCAGATCACTACCACGAAAGAAACAACCAAAGAATGAAAAGTTTATTCTTTAAAAAAATTATTTAAGAAGCAAAATAATTTACTTCAATTCCAACCAAAAGAGATGAGTTATTGAAAGCAAATAATTATACAAAGTAACAACAAATTAGCCCTTGGATAAAAAGTCCAGATCCCAACAGTTATCTACCATCCTGGAGGTTATACACAGTCACTCAAGGCTCTGGGATTAAAGGAGGACCACATACAGGATCAGAATGTAATTCAAACTTCCACTACTCTCCTTCCCCCCAAAGGCCTGAAGTTGCTTGAAATCCAATTCTAAGTCACTGAACTGTACTAAAAATTATGGCAGCTTAAGCATTATGGTTATGATCCAAAGTCCTGCTGACGACAGCAAGAACAAAATCTGAGCACTATTGTTTGAAGAAGACCCTGGAGTGGGAACACTAACAGTAACAAGCCACCAAGTTACGCTATCTCATTAAACAGCTGACAATAAGAGAAACATTTATTTCAGTTATTGGCACTTGTAATTTTTGAACAAGAGCTTTACCCTTTTTTAATATCTTACCTCCGAGTTGTTTATACCTGTCCTTCCCAGTCAGAATAATAAAAGTTAGCTTGGCACTAACATGGTGTTGTGCTGTTAGTTCTAAATAACATTTGGAGTAAATCTACAGAAATACCTTTCCCAGGGGCCTGTCTTGTGCAAAAACTTCTGTGCTTATCTTCTAAATAATTTCCCCAAAACTTCCTTGGGTTTTGTCCTTCACAATTCTCTCTCAGTTGCCACCAAAATCAGGGTTCTCTTACATAGACAGCTGGAAACAAGGTACAACCATTTACCTCGTATTCTTGACAAGTACAACACTGATTTTGTATCACTTGCTAGATCTGAACCTCAAATAACGCAGATGGGAGTACCACTTGTGTAGGTCAGCTCTGCAGCATCCCAAGAGCTGATGCATCCTCCTCTAAGGTTCCAAAGGTGAAATACATGTGCCCTGTCCTTACCAGGTCTTCTTCCCTTGTAAGAGTTTATATAGCCCAAGAGAAAGGGAACACCAAAGAGAGAAAGTAGATGCACTTGCCAGTTGCCATACGATTCTGAGAATTCACAACTTTTAGAGTTACAGCTAGTACATTTTTAATGACAATTGGGACATGCCATACAGTGTAGAGAATTATGATGAACCTCCATCCAAAAGAACTAATTTTCCATACTTGACCACACAACCTTCAAACATCAAATGGCAGCTGCAAAAGGTTTCCCATGGCCATGGGCAGCAGGCAGTCATGCTCTGAACTCTGCAATCTTAACTTTCCCAAATAATCAAAAACCATACATGGACCCAGCTGACAAGATCTCACCATTCAAACATATTGCAGACTCCACATTGCTGTCTTTCCAAAATGCTGAGTCTATGTGACCAGATGTGTATCCCAAAAGCTATCTTTTTCCATGTGTAATTTTATTCAGCAGACAACAGTGTCACACATCTCTTTAGAAGCCAACAGTCATCTCCTGCCACAGTTTTTAAAGAATGCTTCCACAAATGACTTCTCTTGTTGCACCACATAAAAGAAAACCACTGTTCGCTGATTACAGACATGGCAGCTTGCAGTGATGGTAATTCTGTCACGTTTAACTTGCAGGCATGAGATCATCTTCAAACGAACTCAACTTGAGTCACAGCCAATGCTATCCATAATGCTGCCCACCACTGTGTATGTGTTGCTGGAAAATAACGTTTTAAATAAAAATATTGTATTTTTAATTCTTATCAGTGCCACATCAGTCAAGGGTGAAATAAATTCCAAAAAGTACTTATAAGGATTATCACGGATAAAGAAAACATGATGCAGACTGATCCTCTTCATTCCAGGAAGAGAATTAAGAATGTAAGTAATGAAGGAAGCAATATTAAAAGGAACAATTTCTTCTCTCTGTATTTACTGATTACTGATTTCTGATTTCCATTTGAAATTGAGAACTCCAAACTAAGATGCATGAATCTGACACCAACAAACTGAAATCAAGCCTCTTGCAGTTTCTCCACTCACACTGGTTTGGCCAACTGACTGAACGCTCCCTCTGTTGGCTGAAGGCTCATTACTCTTCCATCAGACAGTAACTGGGAATTCAGCTTCGCTGTGGGATACACTGTACGACCACACAGAACAGAATCCAGTATCAGCAGCACAAGAACTAAGGAAGGACGTGGTATTCCAAAGAACACTGGTAGGTTTTGCAACAGTGACCACACTTGTATGTCCCAATTATATGAGGTGACAATGTTTTGTTCTAGGAAAAACTTGCACAGCTTATGCAGTAATTGTCATATATCGAGGCTGTTAGAACAAGCCCAGAATTCCCATCAGTACATCATACACCTTCTGCGTAGTCATCACTGAACTCACTTCCTTCCTCATTTTGCAAGGATGCTGCAATCAGAAGCTAGCTCCGTTTTACGTTATAGCTCATTGCCTTCTCCCCTCAGTCTGGACACACCAAGTCCGTGACAACCACTGCCCCAAATCCAGTCAACCTGAAATCACGCACTCCTTCCCTGACAAGGAGACTCTCCAATGACATTTTACAGGGAGACATTTTGAAGAGACTATGTTTACAGTGTGGTGGTAAGAAAGTAATTCAGAACAAAATAATTTGCAAGTTACAGACAGAGCTGAGTAACAGCTGTCCAAACTAACCAACCTCCAGTTATTAGATTAACTATTGAGAAGCTGCCCATAAATGTTGGCAGTTAATGTTAAAAATGAACAGCTGACTAATTTGGTCCAACTTGGAAGAGATCCGAATGCTTCAGAAAAACAACAATAGAATATAAACATTTCCACCTACAAAGAAAGTAAAAAACAGATGCAGTACGTCCCTCTCCCTAGTTCAAGAGTCTTACGAGTGCCTGCTGGATCTTCCAGCCTACAAATTCCTGGTCTAGTATCCTGCCAGGCAAAGAGATCAGCCACAGAAGACTTGCCTGCTTAAGACAATGAGCTCCCAAGAAATTCCAGTCCTTGGGGTCTTCCTCAACCCAAGGGAACAGGGGACAACTTCAAATCTTCTTAGCAAGCAGGCACTTAAGTTAGGAAAGAGATCTCCTTTTTACTACAGAAAATGAAGGATCAGTTAAGTGGCACTCCTGGCGCAAAGGAGATGCTGCAAATATGCTGCACGAGTGCACAGAGAGCAGATACCAGGAGCATTCATGGTGGCAAAACCATTTCTGACGTTACCTGCCAAGCAACGATTAGTGCCACTCCTCTGATAGCACTGCAAATCAGAATCCAATAGAAAGGGGACAAACATCACTTCTAGCTTTTACTCTAGAGGTAAAGTGTCATCTTTTTCACAGTATTTAGTCTCTAAAGTTCACTTTCCTTGTGACTGGTTTTCTTCTTGAACAAACCCAGGTAACACAGTGAGAAAAGAATCCCAGTACATCAAGAGACATGACTGCTCCGTTAGCTGAGCAGGGAGGTAGACGCCATAGATGTTCTCTTCAGATGGAGCACAGAAAAGGATCTTGTGCTAATTAACTGGTACCAAGATTCTGGTCACTGGCACCAAAATACTGCAGGGCATCAGCATGAGACGCAATACAGTAGCATCGAGACTCGTCCAGCAGCCACATCTGAACCACGTATTCTTGGCATCTGGAACAGAAAGGCATCTCTAATTAGCTGCTGTCCAACTTTGATGGATGTGCAGTGCCACAATGTAGTACAAGTCCTGAACTGGTCTACCTGTTCTCACAGTAATGAGCAGTATCTTTTAGGGAACTGTTGGAAAGAATTTCACTCAGCTAGGGAACTCACAGATTTCATTACTTGCATTATTTTATTTGGTTAATCTTCGAACAGCGCATATTCCAGAGGAACAGAGCTCAAGATAAGCTGCGCAGAAACCAAACAATCATCAACAAATGGCGACTGCAGAATTGTGCACACTCCTCTTTCTAGTTCAGGTGCTTCTTGTGTACAAGACCGAAATTACACATTCTCCAAATAGTCAAAATGGTTTCCCAAAGGAAGGAGACACTGACAAGAACGATATAGAAAATAACACAGTTATCAGTTCAGTGGAAATCCACAGGTTAAAGCCAAAAGGTTGCGTGAATAGAATTTCCTTTTCTTAAGCTTTGCTTAGAGGGAAAAAAAAACACAACATTTTTGAGAAGCGATTAACTGTAGGATCTAAATCCTGGGTATCAACGGGTTGTGTAACAGGGAAAAATCCCACCTACAGCAACTAGTATTTCAAAGCCATGCTTATCAACAACTGAAAGACATACAGACAAGAAGCCAATGAAGGACTTAAATTACAGCTCACCTTATCACATCATAATGCAAGACAATCCCATACAGCCTTGATTCCCATCTTCATTGCTGTTGAGCTTTTTCATCCGGTACTGCCGGATCTCTCTCACCAGTGTGTAAAAAGCGTCTTCCACACCCTGAATGCAAATTATCCAGGTAAAGTATTTTCTTTCCTGAAGCTTTTGAGATCACTGTTCTTTCCATCACAGGATTCCTTACCATATTTGAAAGACATACTTCTACAGGATGAGTAGTAGCCAACTTATCCCACAGTTCATAAGAGAAAGAAACTAACACTTATATCCAGACCTCACCACTTACACTCTTAACTCTTCCTCTGAGGCAAACATCCAGGGTAACAGCCATCAAAAGAAACAAGGCAAACTGTAACTGTAGAGAGGTCCCATGCAGGAAACAAGCTACTTCTTGACTAATCAACTCAGGTTTAGAATTCTTAGAATTTTCTGGCTACTGCTTAATCATTGCACCTTTTCTCCTCCATTCCACACTGATCTAAGTAGAACGCAGGCTGACTGGGTAGAGCCACATATTCAACGCAATTCTGAAGCCAAAGTCTATTAGACCACCCTGGGGAATTCTTTCTGTAAACATACTCTTATGATTGGCCTTCATTAAGCAGCGAAGAAAACCAAACAGGTCTGGGGTGACTAACCGCACGGTCTGACCACTTCTCAGCAAGAGCAGATGAAGCTCTCTTCTTCTTACAAACGTGACCCAATTGAAAGAAAATCAATACAAGTCTGAAGTGATTTGTGTATTGACCTAGCCCAGTGATAAAAACAGAACTCCTTCAAGCTAAGAGCAAGCAGGGAAATCAAAAACTAAAAATTGCAAAGGGATTAAAAAATGCTTACTCTTGTAGATAAAAAAAAAAGTACACGGGAAAACACTGGACCATTCTGCATTGAGTATACAGGAAGTCGTCAGACCAAGAACGGAAGCATCTTACCTGTCTTGTTTTAGCAGATGTCTCTATGAAGGGGATTCCATAGCTTTTTGCCAATTCTTGAGCCTGTTTTGTGTCTACTGTTCTTGTGGGCAAATCACACTTATTCCCAACTAGCACCATTGGCACGTCATCTGAATCTTTCACTCTCTTGATCTGTTCTCTTCAAAAAGGCAAATAAAAAAAAAAATAATTAGGAACTATTTTCTAAATATAAAAGCTGGTTTAGTTCAGCATTCAAACAACCTTGTACCACAAAAAAAATGTATCAAAGCCGAGCAGGACGTCAGGGGTTCTAATCTACAGCAATATCTCCAATAACCTCATACACTCCATCTTCTAGTCCATCTATGACTCCACCCTGATGTGCATTTGCCTTCTTACCCATTTTCTTAGAGATCATGTTCTGTACGCTCTAAATATGATTTGATTAACACAACAAACCAGATAATTGTCCCTCTCTCAGGTGACTAATAATGTATAGACACAAAACACAGATAAGCTTGAAAAACTTTCTGAAAGAAGCGTGAGATTTAATATCTGCATATTATTTAGTCTTCACTGGGTTAATAGCAAATAGGTCTGATGCTGTTTCCGGCCTTCCCTCCCTGTGGAAAAGACCCAGATCATACCTGTAAAGGTTAATATCAGCAAATGATTTACTGTTGTTAATGGCAAAAACACAGAGGAATCCTTCCCCAGTTCTCATGTACTGATCACGCATGGCACTATACTCTTCCTGTCCTGCAGTGTCCAGAATGTCTAACAAGCACGTCTCTCCGTCGATAACAACCTGCTTTCTATACGAGTCCTGCAAAATACACAAGCGAGTTGTAGATTAGAGAGAACTATTGTACTTCTTTCCACCTCAAGCTAGAATATAAAAAGAAGAGTATGAATCAGAGGACCTTTCCTAGCCTCACCCCCACCCCCCCAAAAAAACGCTAGTACCTAAAACTGTCAGCATTTAAAATGTTCCTCTAAGCTGCCTCAGCCTTTCTTACAAAAAAGGAAAAACCTGTTCTTTGTAAGAAATTCTTCAATTGGTAGACAGAAAAAAAAAGTCATCAATACAACCCCTACAGTATCACGACTAGTCTCTACATAGATTGGCGGTGACTTTTTTCGTTGCCTGCCGACGCTCTGCTGTAGAAAGCAAGAAGCAGAACACGCAAGGGACCCCTGAAAGAGTTTTCCCAGAATTTCTTATTCTGTGAACTCTGCCCTCACATTTGCTTTTTTGCCTGCCGACGCTCTGCTGTAGAAAGCAAGAAGCAGAACACGCAAGGGACCCCTGAAAGAGTTTTCCCAGAATTTCTTATTCTGTGAACTCTGCCCTCACATTTGCTTTTTAAACGAATTAAAGGAAGCAAGCAAGCGAGAGCAGTGGCCTCCCGC